CGCGCCCACACACACCTGCACACCCACACACACACCACCTACACCCACAGCAGTCTCTGCCTGTGAAACACTCTTCCTCTCCTGCTCTCACTAGGTCTGCTGTTATCACAGCACTACAGCACCTAATCTATTCTACTTTTTCAGTCTAGGGTTATCTTCTTTACTTCATTCAATGATTTGCCTTTGTCCTGCTTAAAGAAAATACTAAGACAACATCTACCAACAGGGACAGTGGTGATTCCAAGTCTGCATGGTCTCACTACAACCTCTAGTAGCTTGAATCAGCTCATTCGTGGCTTATTTTCTCATTTTAACAGTTTGTCCTGCTATTTAGGTGTTGCAAAGATAATGAGACCTGGACAGCCCTGCAGACACACTGACCAGTCTCTCTAGGACCAGGACTGGACAGCCCTGCAGACACATTGACTGGCCCTCTAGGACCAGGACTGGACAGCCCTGCAGACACACTGACCGGCCCTCCAGGACCAGGACTGGACAGCCCTGCGGACACACTGAACAGGCCTGTGGCGTCGGTTCTGGTGGCGTCTGCAGGGGAGCTCCAGTGTGCAGACCGGGGTACCTGCTAGGCTTTCCCTTTCAGGACGTGGCCAGCGCCCCACACGCCTGCGTTCCTGCAGACAGCAGCTCGTGATATTGAGTCGGCACAGGGGTTCACACCTCCCCTGGCTGCTGCAGATCACTGAGCCCACATCCTTCCTCCTCCGGACGCGCCGCGCCGCTGCCTGCAGTCAGGGGGAGCCGTATCCTGCCGGGGGGGGCGGGGGGCTTCGCAGATTACGGGTGAGCCGTGCCGGCTGGGTCTCCCAGAGCCGACTCCTGCGCTGCGCTGAGCCCAGCACGAGGAGCAGCGCCTGTATCCCAGCATTCCCCAGCTCCGCCCCGCCAGTCCGCCACCCCGGAGGCGCCGCCTGTCACACAGCCCGCGCGCCTTTCCCGCTCGGGAGGGGCTGGACTTCCCTCTGCTTGAGCTCCACAGCTCCCGCTCCGGAACAAGACTCAGCCGATCCGCTGGCTCCTTCACAGTTTATCTCACTGGTTTGTGCCGTCTGTGTCAGAAATCTCCAACTTCAACAAGTTCGGCACACGGAGTTGTACTCCACCTTTCCTCAAACTGATGCGTCCCACTAATCGGAACTCTCCCCAAAGAGTCTGTGGGTCCCCTGGGGGTCTCCAAAAGCGCTGTTTTAATTTTCGCCTCATCTGATTCAGGGCCTGAAGAGAACAGGCGGTTTGGTTCTTTTTCATTCCATTCGTCTAAACAATCAGATTGAGTTTAGGCAATCGCGTTCATCAATAACGAAGCATCAGGGAAGGCCCCTTCAGACTGGCACTGCCCATCCCTGTCTCTCTCTGCTCCTTCCTCGGGTGCGATTGTTTTAACGAGACGAGAACACTCCGCGCCCTGGGGCGCCGTCTGACACGGTTAGTCAGCACAATAAGAAAGAACAGACACTGCATGAATGCTGCATTTCCTCCTTGCGGTTTTCTCCTTCGCTGTAATCACCACGACTTCCAAATCACAGCGGGGTCGATTTCTAGGTGTGGCGGTCACCCCCCCCCAGCGCAGCGCCCCCAGTTCTGTCACACGCCCCGTCTAGCGCCTTCCCCCGTGTGGTGGGGAAGGGTGTCGTGCACCTCCAGCCTGGAGCAGGGGCACCCGTCACTGGCGCTGCTGTGACACCGGACCAGGCGCCGCACCACGCTGCGCCACGACCGGACACCCCAGCGGGCACCGGCTTCACCAGCGCCCTCCAGCCGGGGCCCGGTGTGCCCAAGGTGCAAAACTGCCACACAACTGCCAGCATCCTTAATCAATCAGTTTGGAGGTGAA